CCCCAAAACCCCAAAACCCCAAAACCCCTAAGTTTTAGAAATAATTTAAATATTAAAAATGAATACAAAAATATACGAAAAAAGGTACAAAATTTAGGTGTTTATCCTTAGATATTCCAAAGAGCCTCTCAACAAATACCTAAACGAGCCAATTTTCATATCTCATGATTTCAGAAGAGGCTCGAAGCGTCGCTCTAAGGTAATTAGTAAAACTAATAGGATGTTTTCCCTACGAAACTGCTTGATGAATTTTTTGAAACTTATGTTCAACCTCAACTTTATGCCAGTGGCATATCTTACTTGAATACCTTAAATATCCAGTCATATATCCATTTGGGTACATTAGTGTGAGCTTAATATGTCTAAATCTCATTATTTTTCTAAAATATGAGTCCTAATTTGTTCATAACTATGAAGCCCATTCCTTACTCAAATTCCTCATCTAAAACGTGACTAGCTCAACTCCACTCCTTATCCATACCTCCTAAATTTCTGCTTTAATCGCTTTCCAAATTTTACTCTCAAAAATACCGATTTAACGTGTAAAAGCATCATCTGGCTCACCAAACGACGCTATAAGACGCCTCGAGAATATAACACGAAGGAACACGAATGCCCAAACGATTGCGAAGACAAGGTTCAGCAATGAAATCTTTGAAAATGAGTCTATCCAGAAATAAGATTGCAGAATACTACACCAATAGTAACCTCCAGACTATCCTCATGAAGATCTGGACTAAGCTAATAGCGTCAATGTCTTTGGACCCGTTCAATTACCAGCGGATTATCCGTATGATCTCTAAAAGTCTCGGTGAGTTTGGCGATGACAAGTACTACCAGACCAAAATCCCTGAGTACAAATAGTAAGCTACGACATTATCATTAGTGGAAACGTGACATATGACAAGTACTGCTTTGACATCATCTCTTTGTTCGGCAAATAAGGTGTTCTACCTGAACCTATCCGAACTAGAGATCCTCCTCAGGGCAGCTTATAAGGAAATTACAACTGTGATCGCAGGCAAGATCTTCCTCAAGCCTGATCATGAAGTTACCCAGATCAAGGATTGCGAGAATATTAAGACAAATTTTAAGAACAGAAAGAGCGAGACTAAAGAGCAAGAGCCATTCAATATTCATCGTATCTTACTTCTTATTCTCTAGCTTTCCTCACTATTGTCAATATTGGTTACAAGTCTGCTAATGATAAGGAAGGGGATGATAACTTTGAGGCAACCGCAAATAAGAAGATAGTCCCCTTCTTCTCGAGGCAGCAGGCTCCTGAGAAGATCCGTGTTACACAAAAGAGTCCTAAGAAGCAGGTTTCTAGCCCTCAAAGATTCGTTGACTGGAAATCACTGAAGCGAAAATAAGGATAAGTCGTCTAAAAAGAGGAAACGGGGAGCTCTCTCAGAAGATTCTCTCAAGATCCTCAAGAGCAACATTATCTCCCACGAAGATAATGATTTGATTGATGATCACACAATTCCATGGAGAGTTCAGTTCAAGAGCAGAAAGCTCTCGCCCTTTGCTCAAGATGAAATTATCCAGAAGAAGCTTGATAATTTTCATTTCTTTAGATATTACTGTGAGAAAGAACCTGTTGAAAAGGCAGATGATCTTTTCAAAAGGGTTATTACTAATAATGAAAGTTATCTTCTGAAGACAAGAAATATAATCCCTCGCATCAAGCGCAAGAAGAGGAGTAATTACACCATGTAATTTTATAGCTAGCTCTAGCAGAAGAGTATATGCTCAGAAAAATTCGAAACTTACAGCTTCTATGTGAACTAAGCCTACCCTTCCCTTGCCAAAACCAAGAGAACTCCCTCGGAAGAGTTTCAGAGGAATAATCCCTTTAGATTTCGGACTTTTGAACTCGGAAAGAGGAATTCCAACCATTGCAGCACAACAAAGTGGGATGACTAAGTTGTCCAATCCTCGTGCAGATATGACAGATGAACGTGTTCATCGATTCATATTGTTTGATACAGTTGATAACCGCACCAGGGCCATTACCGAGCGCTTGTAATACCTCCTAAAACCTCGACCAAATATATAAACTTTCTGAAAATTCTTAACATTTTTATTTCTTTCCTAATTCAAATTTTATGCCAAAATCTTCAATATCACCCATCAATCTCGGGGTTTTGGGGTTTTGGGGTTTTGGGGTTTTGGGG